TCTGCATTTATTTCTATTTATTAAATCTCTTCTCTTTCATTGCATTTTTCAAAATAATAATAATAATAACCAACAAAATTAGTGCCACTTCAATTTTTTTTTTTTATAATTTCTCTTTCCAATTAAATTGTAAATTTTTTCTCATATTCTTACTTCTGTTTTTAGTTATCAGTTTCCTTGTAAACTTTAAAACACTGTATAGCAAGTTTTCAAGGGTGCGTTTGAGGGTACGTTCTTGTTTTTTGTTTTTTGTTTTTCAATTAAGATAAAGTTTATAATTGTTTCTTATTTATTGCTCTTTTTTATTATTACAAAAATAAAATAAAAAAAGCATAGACATGTTTGATTTTGAAATCTTTTCTGGTTTCTTGTTTTTTAAAATTTTAAATTAACGAAAAGGTAAAATTTTTCTATAAATATTAAAAAATTTTATGATATATTTATTTTTAATATTTATTATACCTTTTATAAGTAAAAAGATTGATAGAATAAGGCTTTTATCTATGTTTNTGTTGTTTTCATTTGAGAATTTGTTGGGATTTATACCCCAACCTTATGATATGATATTGGATAAATTCTTTAGATATATATAGTATAAACTCAAAACTTAATGTTTATATTGATGTGGAAATTAACTACAATGCTTAAACTACCATGATTCGTTCTTAAACTAAAGTATATATGTAATGGACATATGAAATGATCTAACTTAAGAGAGAGTGGCTTAAATAGTCTGCATTAATGGATAGGATTGGACTCTTTTTATCTTGGTAATATTTTATTGACATAGTCTATTTTGTAACTGTTGCAAATGGTCTGATTTGAATTTGTTTCTCTCATAACATGTGAGTGGAAATATTGTCTGCAATGAGATTTGCATAAGACTAGACTGCGATGTGTCATGAAGCTGTTTGTTGGAAAACTGTTAAAAAAAATGCAAGCACATCGTAAGGATCATAAACCCATTCGATTTTAATCTTAAGTGTGTTATAAACTCCTACCTGTACAATGTATGTTTTTGATTCATATGAGTGACGAATGTGATATGATCATATGAATATTTGCGCAATAAACCTTTTGTCTTGGGAACGCATTCAAGTAGGAAGTTGAAAACATTTCTACACAAGATGAAATTTATAGCCTCTCTATGGTAAGAAGTATAAAATGTGCATTCTCTTTAATTATTGGTTTGAGTCTTGGATAACAAGTTACTGGCCTTCTTGATACTCCAAGAAGAATTTTGTTATGATGTGATCATGGAAGAATATCTATTATAGAATTAGTAGAATTTAACGAGTACACAGGATGAGACCAGGGTCAAAACGGTAATTTCGTCCAACTTGGACCATGAATCATTTTATGAGAGATTAGATGAGTGGTTGTAGTTATATCTACGGACATAATTCAACTACAGTGCATGAGAGTACTACAATTATTGGTTTACGATGAAATCCCCTTGAGTTAATGGGAAAAATTGATTAATTAAATAATTTAATTGATCAATTGTTGATCAATTCTTGACCATTAGAACTCAAAAGTTGTAGGTCCATAACCCACTAGCTTGTTGACCTCTATAGTAAACGCTTGGTTTGGAAGAAAATTAAATAACGTTGGTTATTTAATTTATAATAAATTGTTAATTTTTTACTCTTAATGATAAATTATATTTAATATTAATTTAATACAAAACGGGTCAATTGAACTTTGAAAGCCCGATTTAATATTTGGGTCAACTTTAGGCCCAATTAAATAGAAAATGGCCCATTGAATTTTGGAAGGTCCAATGTGGGCATGACTTGGTGCTATGGTTCATGGAGGAGACCATAATCCAAAATTGGGGTTTCCACTAAGCAATTATTGGAAAGTAAGAGAATCTTTTCCATAATTAATTGAGTGAACGAACGCATTAAAGTTTTTGACCCAAAATATATATATAAAGGGACTTCTAGGTCAAATCTTAAATAATCGTGAGAACATATTTTTTAGAAATTACAAAGACTCTCTGACTCTCCTCCTTAGTAACCCTTGGCTCAAAGAGTTATTTCTTTACTTTTTTCAAGATGTCAACTATTGATGCGTGAATTATGCTCTTTCGGTTCCCTTCGAGATTCGCACCAAACCTGATAAGAAGGAGATAGAGAATCTGCAAAACCAATCAAACCTAAACTGGTGTGACTCCGGTCACACGGGCTCCGATGCCTAAGTTAGCAAGGAGATTGGAAGGATCTAGAATTTGAGTCTCAAGAGTCAGATCCCTTACCTCTAGGGTTCCGTCCATCTTATAGCAGTCCCCTGTGAATCCTCGTCGATTTTAGACCCGTTGCGGGTGTAATTGCAAAACGGGAGGTATCACGAAACGGTCGGGTGAGTCGTTACAATTCTAGATCGGGGGCCGAGAACTGCTCGATGTCGAGGCGCCTGGTTGACTGAGGTCGACCCGAATTGGCCCGAGTCGACATTTTTTGACGCTCACTTGGCCCGTGCGCTTCTTTCCCGGTCTGATCATTGCTTTTATTCCCTATAACACCACACACCAATTCATTGTAGATCGAGAATAGGAAGAAAGGTCTTGTGAACTCCATTCAATCTAAGGTAAGGATCTTTGATCCTAGTCTTTTTTAGGATGATAAAAAAGAAAGGTCTCCCTTCCTTCATAGATGAATTCGTTTGATTTGTTATACTCTCCTAGCTTCTACAGGCTCATATTTTCCACAATTTTTTTTCATAAGCTTATACTTTTATGGTGAAACTTTCAACTTTTTTAGTAAGGATGAATGAAATTGTATATTTTTACAAATTATCTCCACATCATATTTTCGTCTTCGGTTTATCGAGAAAGCAAATAGAACTACTGTTTGATACAATTGTTAAGATAAGGGTTAAAATATATTTTTTTAAACAATAAGGACCGACATAATTAAAATCTACTCCACAATCTTATACTTTAAAAAATCTCAACTAACTTCTTCAATTAAAAACTTGTCAAAGTTTATTTTCAAAAAATTATGTCATTAAATTATTATTTTATTAACATATTTGGACACGTGAATATAATACTTAAATATTACTTGACATATGAGACAGAGTCTCCTCAATTTGTAAAATTCGACCTCATCCATCAATAAGATATATTCTTTCTAAGTGGCAGTTGTCCATATAATCAAATGTGTTAATAAAACAACTAACAACACACCACGAACAAGAGTTAACCAATTTTATTGAAAATTTTAAAAGATTACATATCAAAGTTACCTAAAAGATTAGGAACATTACTAAATTTTTTATTTCTTTTTTAAAGAAAAGAAAAAAAAAAGAAGAAAAGGGAAAAAGTTGGGGTTGATTTGATTGGTGTATTGTGGATGTCAAATCCATGCACGTGACAGAAGAATAAAGGTGTTCCATCCTTTTTAACCATGAAAACTCATTCTTATTTATTTATTATTATTATTTTTTTTAGGAGTATGAAAAGTCAAACAGCAAAAACGGCACGAAAGAAAGAATTTATTTTATTTTTTTGTAATTAAAATTCGAAAATTTATGGCCAACCAAAAGCATGCATGCACGCACTGCGCCATCTCGTCCTTTCCTGCCACACTTCCAAAATGTTCTCCAAAATTATTATCTTTTAATTAAAAACAATAAATGAATAAAGGAAAAAGAAAAAAGAATAAAAAAGAAAAGAAATCAATTTATAACCTTAGAGTTTATAGCATGAGTTAATTAAAATTCCAAACCTAAAATTTTCGTGTTAAATTCTATTAAATTTTTTTTAGTTAAACTGGAAATGCATGTAGAAAGACTGTCATTTTATATTTTGTATTAAAAAAGGGAATACTCACACTTTGTATGTTGTTTTCAATCAATATAGAAAATTATCATAAGAAATTTAAGAAATCGAATCTCATAAGTGAAACGGTCGTATATGATGTAACTCTTGTAGTGACTCCATGAACGGAGCTAGATGAAGCCTCGCCGGCAAGGACATGAAATTGTCGTCGCTGCAAAATTGTTTGTTTCGCATCCTTGTATCTCTTGGTGCTAATAACAATTGAGGTTTCGTTATTGACATGACAATGAAGATCTCTTTAGGTTGCAGGGCGTTTAGAATAGATGTGGTGGTTGGGACGATAGTGAGATTGTTCTTGTTGATGACATATATGTGCTAGGGGAGTTTGCTCGAGCAACGAGCATGTCGTATATATAGTTTGTAAGCATTTGTTGCATTTTAAGATTTTGATAGATGATGTGACAAGTGGATTTTTTTGTTCTTGCTAGAAGTAAAAGGCTTTGGTTGTTGCTTTATATGCAGTAACACGATATGAGGGATCGAACCTCTGATCTTGAAGGAAGAAGCACATACTAATTACCGCTGAGCTATATGTTGGCAAATTAATGGGTTTTTAAACTTTCAAAGTCACGTCTTTGTATTTTCACAAGTTTCTAAATGTAGGTTTTTTTTTAAAAAAAGATTTTATTTTAACAAGTTTCTAAATAGATGTTGCGACTTTCATATTTGTGTTCAATAGATCTTCATTCGGTTTCAACTTTCATATTTGTGTCTAATTGTTAAAAGTATATTGATATATACACACATGCACGACCTTTTCAAATGTTTTATGGAAAGACTATACTTTTTTTCGAGTTCAACGACATGTGGACATAAAGATTTAAATATTCGACGACGAAGATATATGTCTTAACCAATTAAATTATGTTATTAAATTCAAGTCAAAATAATATATATAGTTACAACACCAACATAGGTCGCCAACATGAGTATAGTTGAACGGTTAAGATATCTTGTTCATTTTTCTAGACGCTGAACATTCAATCTGTATACCCATATTTGTTGCCGAACTTTTTTTTTCCCGAAAATTTCAAAACCTTTTATAAATATTTTGGGAAGTGGCCCAAAAAGTTGTCCAAAACACAAATGGGCCAAACTGTAGGCCGAAAGGCCCAGACTCTAAACCCCATTGTGAGTGCATAAACCCTCATACAACTTGGAGCTGCCATTCCGGCTGTCCCATTGCTGAGACCTCCCTCCGATCATGGCCAAGTGGTGGCGCTCCGCCGGAATAAACCCTAGGCTGGCGGCGCTTTCAAGAGCTACATCAGAGCCGTTTTCGTCTCCATCATTTCGAGCTGCTCTGTACCATACGATCCAAGCAATCCCCAGAGAGTGCAGCGGCAGCAGAATTTCGAACAGGGATAGAGCTCAGGGAAGAATCCCCGCCGTCGTTTTCAGCCAACAACTCCTTGAGAAAAACTCCGTTCACGGATCATCGTCGCGGAAGCATCTGCTTACTACGGAGCGGAAGCAAATCCACTCCATTCTCAAATCTGTTGAGCTGCCTTTCTTCTGCTCGACTAGGTTACAGCTCCAGATCCGCGCTGGTTCCGGATCTTCTGTCCTACTTGAATCCGGATCCATTCTTCCAATCAAAGTAAGCTATTAGATTGTTTCTACCGGTTCGTTCATGTTTTAATTCAAATTGAAATTCTTTTTCCTGTTCGTATAATAATTGCTTGGTATTCTTCAGATTCACAGGGACGAAGAGACCGGAAAGATCTTGAATATGGTGTTTGTGTGGGCTGATGAAGGCTCGGAGTTGAAGGTTGATGTGCCAATTGTTTTTAAGGGAGAAGAGGCTTGCCCTGGTCTTCTGAAAGGTAACCGACGTAGAAATTTTTCTTCATTTCCCAAGCTGAAATATTCGTATTCATGGTTTTTGCAAATGTGGGATTTGAGCGATTGCAAGACATTGGGGGTATAAGTTTATTGAACTTCATTCATGTCTGGGATTCAAATTGGTAATTTCTACTTATGCTTCTTGAAAAAGGGGGGAGAACCAGGAAATACATGTAGCCCCTTTTGCACTTCTCACTGTTGCCAAGATGATACCAAACTTTTATCTTCATGTCCTCAAAGGGGATCGATACATATCCATTTTTATCAAGAGAAACAAAACTGTTGTTGTAATAGGTTTACAATTCTCTCCTATAACTCCGAATTTCTGATTTTCCCTTACTATACATGTAAAGCACACCCCACCCACCATACAGCATTACAAGAAACTTTAAGACAAGATATCTTAACCCAAAATTGTTTAGGATGAATAAACTACCACTCAACTCAAAAGTTTAAGCTAGTGGGTTGGGCAAATTTAATTCATATATTGGATATCTAACTTGCGGCTTGGATAATTGGACAAGGCCTAACAAGTGGAAATCATTATAAATGGGGAGGAAACAACAATGCAGGGGTTTGAACATAGGACCTCCTGCTCTTATACCATGTTAAGGATGAATAAACCACTACTCAACCCAAAAACTTAAGCTAATGAGTTGGGTAAATTTAATTCATATATTGAATATCTAATAAAAATTAGTTTAAGAAAGCTTTCCAACAAAAGTTAATACAAGAAGATGAATAATTCTTAAATTCGCTAGGTATAGCACACCAAGAAGCCGCACAATAGTTGATTGTGTCAAATCTTTCTTCCGACAAGGATTGCTTTTCATCAAAGATTCTCTGATTTCGTTGGGGACAAAGACTCCATGAAACAGCTTTAGCCATGTTGATCCTAAGAACTTAGCTTTCCTTTTCATTCCATTGCTGCAAAGCAACATAAAAATGTTGTTTTTAGATAATAAATCAAATATTCAAGCCAAGCAATCCTGAAGCCTTGAAATAAAGACCCCCGCATTTTCCTGTTATAAGAAGAATGTAAAGCAGATGATTAATGCTTTTCTTTTCTTTTCCTTGGAAACAAAGAGTTCACCAACTTGGGCTGAATAGTATCATGGCCCCGTTTTTGTAGCCTTTAGCAGAATTTAACCCTTTCATAAAGTCTATAACCAAACCAATATATTTACTTTTCTAGGACATTTTACTTTTCATATGACTGATACAGAACAGTTTCCATGGAGAACCGTTTGCTTCTTCCTTGAATATATAATTAACGAAAAATATAGCCCCCTATCCAAAAAAAGTGATATGTGATGGATACACATTTGCAAGGTTGCAATTTGTTAGCATCAGAGAATGCTGTGAACGTAGCATAGGCATGAAATATGGTAGTTCCTACATCCTGGGTGATTGTAGAGTTCATTAAAGATTTGCAATTTGGATAAACCGCATTCTTTAGTTTTTACCATAATCTTTTTTGTATGACTTTGTGAGCTATGTTTAATACTTGTTAGTTATTACTGATAAGCAATGACCTTGAGATGTATTGGCTGAAGTTGTATCATGAAGCATTGATGTCTTTTTTGAAATATATGGCATTTCCTTCAGTTCAAAGTATGAGCTATGGTCTCTGTCTGTCGAACTTAGATAGTCGATATGCCATTAGCTTGAAATCTGAGGTTTATTTATTTAGTTGGATTCCTTTTTCAACTTTTGTTGTATAAGTAATGGTACCCTCTGGTGTCTTGAGGTTTTTGCATCAATGGTGTTTGTCAAATTCGATAGTCATGGTTTGGTTCATCATTTGTGAGTATGCTGTTAAAACTTGGTAAATGACAGAGTAAAAGGTTATGGTTGCTATTTGATCACGGTTAGGATGATAAAGGATTGGAAATGGATACTCTATACTCATGCAAAACTTATATTGTACTACATTTTCCATTAGTAATTTTGCTAGCTGAATCTTTCGTGTGCTTGTCAATCGTTCTTCTGAAATTTGATATCATAGTTTTGTGGAAGACAGGAGGTCAACTGAACAGGATAAGAACTAGCCTCAGATATCTTTGCCCAGCCGAGCATATTCCTTCCAAAATTGAAGTGGATGTAAGTAAACTGGATATCGGGGAGAGAATTTTCATTCGCGACGTAGACGTCCATCCTTCTCTGAAGCTTCTTAGCAAGAACGAAGTCATGCCTATTTGTAAGATAGTTGCAACTAATACAGAAAGTGCAGAACCTTCATAACTATGGATTCGTTGAAGCACATTCGCATTCGGGACTTATGGTCAAAGCAGCCGAAGAATAACAACTGATCAGCAACAAGTTAATGTGCAATTTGGAAGATGGTATGTGTTTGATGATCCAAATTTGTCATRTTCATTGTATAAATTCGGAATGTTTTCTCTGTTTCAATTCGTCTCTTTACCGACTTTTAATGTGGTAGCTGAGAATTTTGATGAAAAGCTCAGGTCCATTTTAGCTGCTGAGGATAAATTCCTTGCTGGATAAAAAATGTATCAGCTAAGATGAATGGTTGTTAAAGACATTATTGGCTCAATCATTGTTGTAGGAAGGAAGAGGAATATGGATATTGAAATTCCGTTTTGCAGCGTTTTTTATTATTATTATTTTTTTAATAAAAAGTAGGGGTGTAATCGGTTCGGGTCAGAACCGACCGACCCGACTGTTTTCAGGGCAAAACCAACCCGCAACTTCAAGGTATCCGATTCCTGTAGTGTATCGTCGTCGGTAGAAAGTGTTGCTTGTCGTCGGGGTTCGTTCAGAGAGATAGGGAGGGAGTGAGAGGAAGGGAGGGAGGTGGCGTGGGTTGTGAAGTGAGGGAGGGAGAGAGAAGAGGTTATAAATATGACTTAATTTGGTTAAAATCGAATAACTTCGGTTATGTTCATATTTTGTTCAAATCGAACCGGCCCGAATTGGTTCGATTTTTCGGGTTAGTTCGGTTTCTTTCACCCCTAATAAAAAGAATAGAATGGCTAAATATTTTTTTTTGTTCTTTTACTTTCTTTTTATTGAAAAGGAAAGACAACACTCTAGGACAAAGTTTTAAAATAATGTAGTTTTAAAAATAAATTACAAAAATAAAGTTAGTTTAAAAACAACTACAAAATAAATGTAATTTAAATAAATAAAATCAAATATAGGTTAAGTTTTCAAAACTATTGACAAAAATAGGTTAGGTCAAAATAAAAGTCAAAACTCGCGTACAATATCTGCGATTTCTGTGCAAACGTGTATATTTGACATGGTAAGTGACTAGGCGGGAGTTGCGTACAATGTACGCGACTTCCCCTTATTTATTTATTTAATTTTATTTATATTTTAATTTATATATTGTTATTTTATTAATATTACGAAATTTAATTAAGATGTGATTAAATTTTTTATTTTTTTTGTTAATATATTTTAAATTTTGATTAAAATGTTAAAGTCTGAAAGTTTAAAATTAGATCAAAATCAATTCGATGATTAAAATGTCATTTAGCTTCTTGTGTTTCATCTTCGTTATGTTCTATAATATCATTTAAATTTAATATAAATTAAATCGATAAAAAAATATTAAATTAATAAAAACATAAAAGTCAAGGTAGACATGAATTTGGGGTATGGATAATTAGGGTTTTGTTTGTTTTAAATTATTGCATAAGATGTCCATCATGTTATAGCTAATTCATAATCTATTTTTCGAATATGGAGAAAATTCATATTATACAATTTAGTCTTCTTAAATTGTGATTTTTTAAATAAAATTTAAAATAAATAAATAAATAAAAAGAACAAGAGGATATTGATGGGAAGTGGGGCTGCCACTTCTAAATTAAAAAAAATATATATTAAAAAAAAAAAGAAGAACAAAGGAAGTGCCTGACTTCAAAATTCAATATAATAAAAGATAATAAAAGAGGGAAAACAAATAAAGGGAACTTCCAAATNGGAGTGGCTGCACTTCCAAATTCTGGAAAAAACAAAAGTTCCAAACTCAAAATAAAAAAAATAAAAAAAAACAAAAGACCCGTCAGCAAAGCCGTGGTTCCAGTTAGGGAGAAGTCGCAGCCAGTGAAATCGCGGTCAATGACCGCGATTTCGCCAGGCTGCGACTTTAGTCAAATCGCAGGCCACCCTTGCAATTTATGTACCCTATTTATGTAATTACTTTGAAACCTACCATAGTTTTGTCATTTATTTTTAAAAAATAATTATTTAAGAAAAAATTCCCAACACTTTCTTTCTTTTGTTAAATACAAAAAGTAAGAATTTTTATAAAAATTTAATTTTTTAAAATTAAATATGCAATTTTAATATAGCCGAATTATTTATTATTTTGTTTTACAACCTGTAGTCGGTTTTTTTTAAATGTATTTTAATATACCATATAATAATATTAAAAAAATTAACACATTCCAAATAAAAATATGTTTATATAAAAGATTGCATTACCACACCAGACACAAAAAGAAAAGAAACATTTGGGATTTTTTTTTTTAAATTTAAATTAATAGAAAGCAAGTGAAGCTATCAAAGTCAAAAGTGGTGCAATATAAAGTGAGAATTTTTCTAAGTGCTTAGCCTTAGCTTTCTCTCTTCGGAGAGCATCTTGGCAAATTCTGCAACAGCTTCTTCATTGCTACCTTCTCCTTCAACTGGTTCGAATTTTCCCGTCTCTAAATTCACTCTCGAAACTGGTTTCTTCAATAGGGCCTCTCCGGTCTCTATCAGCCTTTGTAAATTCTCTTGCGTCGCAACATCAACGGAGGCTACATCCCCAGTCAATGTGTCATCCTGCTCAAAATTAAATTTTAAAATTACCCACAGAGTCAATATTTTTCGAAAGAATATTAATTATATATATGACTTAATTACACGACTTATCTAAAAGTATAGAACCAAACATCAAATAGACTTCTATATAATCAAATTACTTTTGCTTGGCCGAGTGCTTAAAAGTACTTTTTGGAGGTATGGGTACAGACATTAAAATTTTACGAATGTTTGACAATTAAATTAAATGAAGTAGGGTCCAGTGGGTTGATGGTTCTATAAAATTAATTTAGGTAAACGTAGATATTACTCATAATATAACAAAAAAAGATATAAACATTATACGTTTAATTAGGAGGTATGAACAAACATACCTGAATTCGAAGGTAATTTTCTTTACTATTCAAGGATTGAAAGAGCGTAGAAACATGATAGTCGACCATATCGGCACTGGCATCGCCGAAGAAGTCGATGATGGGAGTGGCACCATCATCAAACATCCAATTGAAGAGGCCCCATTTGGAGGCTTGGGGTGCGCTGTACTTCTCATCATTTTTGGGTGAACCTGTCCCTAAGGATAGAACCAGCATCCTCCTTGTGTCCATTGGCTTTATCTTTATGTATTCTGAATTCCCCATCACACTAATCTCTTTTGTAATGTGAGATATGGCTGTGAGTGTCTGCAATTTTGTAGGTTTTTGTTACAAAATGAAAAATAAACATCCGCTTAAAACATATATATTTTCGATCTCTCATTTCAGAGTTTTCATGTTCGTTGGTCTCTGAACCTTCAAATGGCCCCAAGGCTTGGACACGAGAGACATCAAAGAATTTTTAACATTAATTAGTTCACCTGAAGGTTCGAGCACAAGACCTCATGATTGGTGATACCACAAGACTCCAAGCTCTTACCAACGAAGTCGTCCCTTCGGGAGTAAATTGATATTTTAATTACAATAACTACACCTGTTTGGAAACTCAACACTTAATCTATTCTCTGGAGACATCTATTATGCTAGTCATTTCAATAAATAAAAGCTAAGATGAGCTTATGTCAAATAATTTATTTAAAAAAATTAATTGAGAGGACTAAAGTGACTATTTATGCAAATTTGAAGGACTAAAATAAAATATTTGAATAAGGTTGGGAACTATGGTAAAATAGGCATGAAAGTTTTAGGGACTAGAATAATATTTAAACTTAGAAAGAGCTGCCATCTATTTTTCACGGTACAAGTTGATACTAAGTTATTTTTCTGACTAACAAATTTGCAAATATAACAACCAATTTTGCTATCGTACGAGCCCAGTAATCAAAACGAGCAGTGTTTAGTATTAATAGAAGCCAAGTTTGTGGAAAAGAAAAATTAGTGTTACTTACAGGATTGTTTGCTGCAACCCCACCATCAACTAGATGAAACGCACGAGTGGTACCATTCGAATCCTTTGTCTCGAAATAGTGTGCGGGTAGATATGTTGGAGCTGCAGAAGTGCTTATGCAAACATCTGCCAGCCTTGGATTCTTCGACTCATTCAACTTTGCCTACAAATTCATACATATATCATCCCAACCACAACTTTGGAACTTTTTTTTTTGTTAGTACTTTTAAATGAAAAGTACTTTTTCTGTAAGTACTTGTGGAAGAAGTATTAGTGTATGAAGTATTAGTGTATGTTTGTTATACCTTTTAAAAGTATTTATGGAGGAGGTGTGTTTTTTTGAAAATTTGTAGTATTTGTATTTAATCAATTAAAAGTGCACTGTTTAAAATATTTTATAATCAAAATTTGTTTGAGAAGTTCTAAAAACAAATAAAAAGTACTTAAAAAATTATTCTAAATAAAAAAATTCTCTTTAAAGTGCTTATGGAAGCCTAGGTTTTTTGTTTTTTTCAAATTGATAGTGTTTTTGGTTAAAATTTTAAAGAAAGTTTTTGATATGAAAAATCAACTTGAGAAATTCTAAAAACAAATAAAAAAAACATTTAAAGAACTTTTAGAGCATGTGATTAGTTTGATTTCTAAGTGATTACACAATAAATGTTCGAATATATTTTTAACTATTTTTCTAAAATATTTCACCGACAATCCAAACATAACTTAATTAATTAAGACATATATTATTAACCAAAAGTTTGAGGTTCAAATTCTTAGAACTCAAAAATAAATAAATAAATAAATATTTCACTTAAAAATAACATTTTCTTAAAATAACAATTTTAATGAACATTTTCTATTATCTTACCAATTACAATAAATAATTTGCTTTAAGTACTTCTAGAGATTAAAAATATTTTTCACCATTTCAAASTTCAAAATAAAGAGATACTTTTAGAGATTAAAAGTATTTTTCACCATTTTAAAAGTCTAACTCAAGCTTCAAAATAAAGAGAGACAAGAGTTAAGAGTTCATACATCGTTGGTAGTAAAAATGACTGGTTGGAGAAGTTTGATATCAAAAGCAGGAATCACTACGTAAGCCAAAGTTTGACTGAGAGTGAGATCTCCGAGCAGGTCGTTGGTGAGTGACCTTAAATATTTTCCATCGTATTTTGGTCCCATAACTTGGCCAAACAAATTGGTCACCTGGCTAAATAAGTGGCTGATTCCAGAACATTTATCCCTTTTAGAAAATATATTTCCACATTAAAATCAAATTAGCTCATGCCAACATTTTATGTTTCTTAGTTTTATCCTTTTTTTTCTCTAATGATTTTATTTGTTTAGTTTTTCACTTTTTAAAATGTGTTTTTCTTAAATATTAGTTAAAAGGCATAAACCAAAAAATAAATAGATCGCAAAATAAAATTGATAATTGTTAATTGTTTTCTTTTTTTCCTTTTCAAGTTCTTGATAATATTTTCTACGTCGAATTTGATTTGTTATCTAATTTATTTTCATTCATAAATATGTATAAAAATTATGTACATGTGAATTTTTTTTCTTTTTTTGCAACTTTTCTTTTTATTTTTTTTAAACCAACTRCAACAACAAAAGAATAAGAATGATTTTGGTTTTCCATTTCTCAAAATTTGAGCTTATTTACTAACCATYTGTATGATTTTTTTAAATGAAAATATCTTTAAAATCTTAGACAAAAAAAARGRAAAWWRG